GTTTTGTTTTGATATATGAGTTGTTCGGGTTTTTTTCATCTAAAAAGTGACATTAATTTCTTGATGATATAATAAATTTTGTTTCTGTAACATTAAAATTATTGCCATAATGCTTTTCTTATAAAGTTTTTGAATATATTTAGCTGATAGTTCACTTACTCTCCTAGAAATTTTACTATTGTCTGTTTACAGAGTAATGAAAGCTGCAGGTACTACCAAGTACTTTTTCACAAGTTATTTAAACTTAATTTTAGGTGATTGATATTGTAGTTAAATATATGATTATTAATTTGAGCTTTTTTGTTTTGGTTTCCTTTTCAGTTGATTTCTCTTCTGCCATATGTTTCCTGTTGTTTGAAACATCCTTACAGTGCAGTACGTCACATGTCTGCTCGAACCTTAGGTATGTTCAGTAAAGTTATAACTGAAGAAACTATGAAGTTGGTGCTAGGCGATGTTCTTGAGAGATTGGAGAGGATTGATGATGACACTCAACGACAGGGTGCTATAGAGGCACTAGCCTGTATCCTTTCTAAAGTGTAAATCCTGTTTGAAGGCTTAATCATGTTAATTTTAATAGTAATGTTCAAGAAAACATTTGCATTAAATCAATTAGCTTTCTAATTGAAAATAAAAAATTATTTAAACCTGTACTCCTTAACTAAGATTTGCAGGTGTTATTGACCATTTAGGTTTAAACATCGTACCATACATAGTCCTTCTTATAGTCCCAGTTTTGGGAAAGATGACTGACCACAATGAAAGTGTCAGGCTTATGGCTACCCACTGTTTTGCTTCTCTCATCAGACTCATGCCTTTGGAGGTATGTTTCTTTATCACAAATTTCCTGTTAGGAACGGTTCTTCACAGTTTATTTGTTGTTTGTCAGTACTTCTGGATTGACTATTACCTACTTTTTAATATGAAATATAATATTTAATGTGTATGTTATAATTTTTCTGTAAGCATGGTACCTTATTTAAGATTGTCAGTTTTACTGAATATGTTATCAGTCACTAACTGAACCCAAAACACAACATTTACTAGTTGACTAACTGTGTTTACTTGAAGTAATAGAAAAGGTATACAAATAGTTAATAACAGTCTATATTGGTTTTGATACTAAATTTTATTGTAGGGTGAGTTTAAGGATAATCCAAAGCTCTGTCCAGAGCTAAATAGAAAGAAGATACAGGAACGGCAATTTTTAGACCAACTCTTTGATCCAAAGAAGATTGAAAATTACAAAGTGTCTATACCCATCAAGGCAGAACTAAGATCTTATCAACAGGTTTGTTTAAATGAGTTTTAGTTTTGTTTTTATAGTTAAGTAATAACATTGAAGCAATATTTTATTGCTTTCTAGTCTAATTGACCAGTCACTTTTTACATATCATTAAGAAAAAACAATAAAATTTATATTATAAAAACAAGTACACTGTTGATAGTAAAAAACAATTACCAATGTCCATAAGCAACAGAAACTCATTTCATTGATTACCCTAACAACATGTGATGAATCAAATCCTTCAAAAACCTGGAGCAGTTATAGCTGAAGAAAGAAGTTTTAAAAACAGTTGGGTATGCAGGTGGTTGCCCTTGAGCTTATTTCCCTATTTGCATTAAAGTTCACCATCTGACAAAGTATTGAGGCAAAAAAATAAACTGTTTACAAATTGAAATCATTGGAAAAACGTACTTGCTTAAAACATGGTGAATTCAGATTACTTCCCGTTATACCCACAATAACGTATTAACCACCAGCTCATTTCCTTTATTTGTGGCTTAGTCTATTTGTTTGACGTTTTATATGCAGACTTTTCTTATTTCACCTCCTTGAGAGAATCTTAAATGATGTGTCACATTCACCAAGGTTTCAAGAGTGTGATTACTTACTTAATTTGTTATTGGTCATGAAATTTGCATGCTCTTTTATGCATATTTGAAGCTGCCTAATTGTTAATCCAATATACCTGGGATTACATTTAGAATATTGAAATTCGTATAAGTTCCATAAGTTTTTTACAAAGACAAATTTCCAGCCACTTTTCAACTTGATTTTCAAGTCTGAATATTATTAGAGGTATGTAGATGATACTTTTGTCATCTTTCACCCTCTGGATACAGGTAGGTAAAAGTGCACATGTCATGACCTTTTTTATAGAGTTACATTCAAAATTTAATTAAACTACTTCACTATTAATGTATGTCAATGAACTTAGTATCAAATTTTAATATTATACAAGTTTTAATTTTAAAAAGATATATTTAAATTCTCAGTCTAATTTCCCTGTATCACATTACACTTGTTGCTCCAAATTACCCAATTTAGTGATTCTTCCCACCCCTGTTTGAGTTCTGAGTTTTAATACAGATTACAAACTTACAGTGTAGGTAATGCTACGACATAATCTAATTTTATAGCCTGCATTCATCTGGATTTTAAGACATAGAAACCATAAAGTCAAAGTAACGTGCCACATCCTCCTGTCACATACCATTTTTCAAAAAGTGTCAGTAACTCTCTCTGATGTTTGCTAACATATTATTTATAACAAAAAGAAATAGAAAGTTATAATTTATTTAATTACATAATAGACTAGCTTGTTCTGATAACAGCTTTGGAATTATTTAACATACAGATTCAATTTTGCTTTGTTGACATCACCTAGACCAAGTAAATGAAATATTTTAATACATGTATAGCTTAGTTAGAGAGCCAGTTAAATTAAAATACTTATAAGACATTGTATTTTTTGTGCATGTTATTATTTTGTGTTTTTTAATTGAATATTTGAAATAAATAAAAATCCAGCAATATTCTAATAATCATTCTACTAAAAATTAGGTTTAACTTTTACCAAGACTTTGATACAAAAAATGTAAAAGACTCCCCCAGTACTTGTTAGATTAGATAAATGAAACAAAGTTAAATAAATTTCTCAGTGAGGTATGCACACAAGCTGCATACACATTACATAATTCATTACTTTATTTTACCATAACTTGAGCTATGTGCTTGCTGGGTATTTATAGCTTTATTATGCGTGTTAATAGTTGCACAGTTCAACGTGCAATAAAACAAAATTAAATATAAACAGATAAACTATTATGATCCTGAGATTGTTTAGGATAAATAATTGTAATTTTTTGTTGCAACCTGCAGTTATTATAGAAATATAAAGGGTAATTTACATTTATCTGATATTTTTTGTGGTGGTTAATAGATTGGTCAAATGGACTGGCCCACAGTGTCAGAGTGAAGAAAATAAGATGAAAAAGTATTATTTCAATTTAATATGAAAATCACTTTGCAGTTGGATAAATCTTTAGGAAAAATACATTATTAAAAACATCTGATCTTTTGTGTACAAAAGTCTTGTAATGTTGAGTAAAAGCTTGCCAAATTTCATAAAGATACAGACACTACATTAAAAGTATGTATAGTTACATGATCATTGCAAGGTTGGTCAATATGACCAAGTCTGAATAGAGAGGGATTAATGATCTTAAAAATGTTAATCAGCTTTTAAGGTATTTTAATAGTCAATATGATAGTAAAAAAAATCGCATTAATACACCAATAATAACATTAATATGCTTTTTTGGATGCATTAAGACACAAAAATAATGATATGTTACAGTATGAAGAGTAATATAAAAATACATTAAGTGGATTATACTTTAATCTTGACAATCTTATTCCAGATGTGTTAAAAATTTGTTTTATTAAGTACATTGATTTATCATGCTTATAGAATTACTAGCACATCTGAATATTTACACAAGAAATTTACAAACAAACATTTTTTTAGATAACATTATTGATTAGGATTACTGACTTTTTCCAGATAAAGAATTAAAAATGATTTTTCTGAAACACCATTTGTCAATAATACTTGCAAATCTGATGACCAATATCAAACAAAATAATTGTATTCTCAGTGTATGTATGTATGGCAGCAGTACATCATAGCTTGTACAAGATTCTTGCAAAGAAAGCTTGCACATGAAAGATTTTTTATTATTATTACTTATAAATACATAGTTTAAAGAAATTAATTTGGCATTTAATTTATGTTTCCTAACTTATTAAAAAATCTCTGTAAAAGAAACATGAATGAGACCTAGAATATATGTTATTTTTTATAGAAAACAACAGATATGCAACAATAAAATAAAAGTAGTAGCTGTTGGGGACCATGCACAGCCTTGTGGTTAATTGGTTTGTACTGTGATTCTCATGGTAAATGTTTTATGTCCTGTTGCTGCAAAATTGAGATCTGCATTTTGGGGCCATTGGGGCATTATAATAGTGAAGGTCAAATCCCACTATTAAATTCAAGTAGACTAAGAGTTGGCAGAAGGTTCTGTTCACCAGTTGTCTGTCAGTGACTATTGCAGGTAGTCCTTTGAAGCTTTGTGCAAATATTTGAAATAAATAAACAAGCTGTAGTCAAAAGGTTTTTATTGAAATATTTGAGGAACATGTGAAATGTTGCATTTTAAATTTCATGGACTGCATTTTATCTGTTTAATATTAAGGTTTGTGCTTAATTAGTAGTTAAACTTAATGATTGCATAAACTACTATTCAGATACTGTGATAAAAATTTTAATAAAATAATTATTACATAAATTAATTTTGAAGCTTGCAATTGAAACAAAATCAACATAGGTATGAAATGATATATAGCATTTATGTACGTATGTGTGTATGTACATATTTGTTTTAGAAAATTTGTTGTTTTAGGAGCTTTTTTTCAGTCGAGTAGGTGCATACATATATATATATATATATATATATGACCTCTCCCTGGCAATCACCATAGATAGTGGTTGTGTTTACAAAAAAGAGGTTCAAATGTTATCACACTTTGTCAGTAGGCTTAAATAAAAAAAGGTACTCTTCTGTGAATGTTTTGAATGAGGTTTTTTTAATGATAATTAGAAATAGAAAAAAGATAAATATTTAAGAATTATGTTTTTTTTTCACTGATATAAAAAA